TCCATGACCCTCTTCAGTCTGGCTTCCACCCACTCCACTCTACTGAGACTGCTCTTATTAAAGTCACTAACGACTTAATCACAGCTAAATCCAAAGGGCACTACTCCATACTAATTCTTCTTAACCTCTCTGCTGCCTTTGACACTGTTGACCATGTTCTCCTTCTCCAAACTCTTCAATCACTCTCTGGTTTTCCCCCTATCACTCCCAATGCTCATTCAGTGTCTCCTTTTCTAATGATACCTTCTCCCTTTGTCCTGTCTCTGTTGGAGTCCCCCAAGGCTCTGTACTTGGTCCCCTTCTATTTTCTCTTTATACTGCCTCTCTTGGCAAACTTATTACCTCATTTGGATTCCAATACCACCTGCACACTGATGATACACAGATATACCTCTCCTCTCCAGACCTCTCCCCTGCTGTCCTGCAAAGTGTTACTGCTTGCCTTTCTTCCATCTCTGACTGGATGTCCTTCCGCTTTTTGAAACTCAATCTCTCTAAAACTGAACTCCTTGTCTTCCCTCCCCCTAATACTTATCCTCCTCCTTTCCTCTCCCTTCAAGTTAGTGCTACCCACATCAGTCCATCCTTGCAAGCGCGTCTTGGCGTTATCCTTGATTCTGGCCTCACATTTGAGCCTCCAGTATGTTACCAAATCCTGTAGATTCCACCTTAAAAACATAGCCCGCATCCGCCCCTTTCTTACGCAAGATGCTACTAAGGAGCTTGTCCATGCTCTAGTAATCTCTTGCATGGATTATTGTAACTCTCCCCTAATAGGTCTTACCACAAGTCATATTGCCCTGCTACAGTCTGTAATGAATGCTGCAGCTAGACTGATTTTCCTCTCCTGTCGCTCCTCTCACATCTCTCCCCTCTGTCAGTCCCTACCTTGGCTTCCTGTATCCTATAGGAGTCAATTTAAGGTACTAATCCACACCAATAAAGCATTGACCAATTCTAGCCCCTCTTATATCTCTTCACTGATCCACAGGTATGCCCCTTCTCGGTCTCTCCGCACTGCCCATGACCTTCTCCTGTCTGCTGCTTGCACCCGTATGGCCAACTTACGCTTGCAGGATTTCTCGAGGGTGGCTCCTTTACTTTGGAATAGCCTGCCTATAACCATCAAGCTCTCCTCTAGTCTCCAATCATTTAAAAAGTGCCTTAAAACCCATCTCGTTAGGAAAGCTTATAACCTTCTAGAGTAACCTCTACCTCACGTACTTGTCCCTTGCTCTCATCTAAAGGTCAGCATTCTATTCTCTCCTCCGGCTCTGCTTCACTTCACCTTGTTTGATTGCTACCTCCTGTCCTGTTGTGTTTTACGTCCCACCTCCTATAGACTGTAAGCTCGTTTCAGCAGGGCCCTCTTCAACCTATTGTTCCTGTAAGTTTTTGTAATTGTCTCATGTATTGTTAAATCTCCCCCTTTGATCATTTTGTAACGAGCTACCATTAATAATAATAATAATAGTCCTGCACTGGGTGTAGGTGCAGGTCTAGAGACACCACCGGACCACCAGGGCTTTCAGTGTCCCGCTCCCTGCCCAACAGTGGTGTCGCTGGGGGGGGGGGGCAGAGGGGGCCCTGGCCCCCCCTACATCATGCTGTGCCTCCCCTTGTGCCCCCCCAATGCCAGCAACTTGCTGGCCATGTGGTTAGATTGTATTCCCTCGGACTGTAACAGGGAATGCAGGACATAGCAGCTGGAGCGCTGGGTGCTGTCTGTGGCTGGAGGGAGCACTGACAGGCTCCCGGCACAGGCCCCACCCCCAAATGAAGCCCCACCTCCCGTACATAAGCCCCACCCCCGTCATTAAGCAGCAGAAAGGCCAGAAGATGGCTGTCTGACCCCCAGCAACAGCCTCCAGTGACAGGTAGGCTTGGTGTGTGTGTGTGTGTGTGTGCTAGTGAGGAAGCTTGTGTGTGTATGTATGGACTCAGCAGTCTGTGTGTGTGTGTGTGTATGTATGGACTCAGCAGTCTGTGTGTGTGTGTATGGACTCAGCAGTCTGAGTGTGTGTGTGTGTGTGTGGACTCAGCAGTCTGTGCGTATGTGTATGGACTCAGCAGTCTGTGTGTGTCTGGACTCAGCAAACTGTGTGTGTTTGGATTCAGCAGTCTGTGTGTGTGTGTGTATGGACTCAGCAGTCTGTGTATGGACTCAGCGGTCTGTGTGTGTGTGTGTTTATGGACTCAGCAGTCTGTGTGTGTATGGACTCAGCAGTATGTGTGTGTGTATGGACTCAGCAGTGTGTGTGTCTGTGTGTGTATGGACTCAGCAGTCTGTGTGTGTGTGTGTGTGTGTATGGACTCAGCAGTGTGTGTGTCTGTGTGTGTATGGACTCAGCAGTCTGTGTGTGTGTGTGTGTGTGTGGAGTCAGCAGTGTGTGTATGGACTCAGCAGTCTGTGTGTGTGTGTGTGTGGACTCAGCAGTCTGTGTGTGTGTGTGTGTGTGTGTGACTCAGCAGTCTGTGTGTGTGTGGACTCAGCAGTCTGTGTGTGTGTGTATGGACTCAGCAGTCTGTGTGTGTATGGACTCATCAGTCTGTATGTGCGTGTGTGTTTGGACTCAGCAGTCAATGTGTGTGTATGGACTCAGCGTCTGTGTGTGTGTATGGACTCAGCAGTGTGTGTGTCTGTGTGTGTATGGACTCAGCAGTCTGTGTGTGTGTGTGTATGGACTCAGCGGTGTGTTTGTCTGTGTGTGTATGGACTCAGCAGTCTGTGTGTGTGTATGGAGACAGCAGTGTGTGTGTGTGTATGGACTCAGCAGTCTGTGGGTGTGTATGGACTCAGCAGTCTGTGTATGTGTGTGTGTGTGTGTGGACTCAGTGGTCTGTGTGTGTGTGTGTGTGGACTCAGTAGTCTGTGTGTGTGTGTGTGTGTGTGGACTCAGCAGTCTGTGTGTGTGTGTGTGTGTGTGACTCAGCAGTCTGTGTGTGTGTGTGTGTGTGTGTGTGTGTGTGACTCAGCAGTCTGTGTGTGTGTGTGTGTGTGTGTGGACTCAGTCTGTGTGTGTGTGGTGTGTCTGTGTGTGGACTCAGCAGTCTGTGTGTGTGTGTGTGTCTGTGTGTGTGTATGGACTCAGCAGTCTGTGTGTGTGTGTGTGTGTGTATGGACTCAGCAGTCTATGTGTGTGTGTGCACTCAGCAGTGTGTGTGTGTGCGTGTGTGTGTGTGGACTCAGCTGTCTGTGTGTGTGTGTGGACTCAACTGTCTGTGTGTGTGTGGACTCAGCAGTCTGTGTGTGTGTGTATGGACTCAGCAGTCTGTGTGTGTGTGGACTCAGCAGTCTGTGTGTGTCTGTGTGTGTGTGGACTCAGCAGTCTGTGTCTGTGTGTGTGTGTGTGTGTGTGTGTGGACTCAGTAGTCTGTGTGTGTATGGACTCAGCAGTATATATAAATAAATAAAAATAATACGAAATATACATATGTCCATATACAAAATTACATAAATAATTATATAAATATACACGTAGACTTCAAATATATAAATATGCATATATATTTAAATTTTACGTGCGTATTTATGTAATATTTTTACATAATTCAGTAATTTTATTGATTGCAATTTGAGGGACCTGCCTGCCAACCCAGGCCAAAAGGCCAGAGAATTTAATTTGCTAGCACTGTATTTTACCCTGTAACGTTCTACGACACCCTAAAACCTGTACATTGGGGGTACTGTTTTACACAAATATTAGTGATTCAAAACAGTAAAACATATCACAGCGATGATATTGTCAGTGAAAGTGACTTTTTTTGCATTTTTCACACACAAACAGCACTTTTATTGATGATATAATTGTTGTGATACGTTTTCCAGTTTTTAAACACTAATATTTGTGTTCAGCGATGTCTCCCGAGTAAAACAGTACCCCCCATGTACAGGTTTTATAGCATTTTTGAAAGTTACAAGGTCAAATATATGGGTCAAATATTTTTACATTGAAAATGGCCAGGTTGGTTACGTTGCCTTTGAGAGCGTATGGTAGTCCAGGAATGAGAATTACCCCCATGATGGCATACCATTTGCAAAAGAAGACAACCCAAGGTATTGCAAATGGGGTATGTCCAGTCTTTTTTAGTAACCACTTGGTCACAAACACTGGCCAAAATTAGCTTTCAATTTAGTTTTTTTTACTTTTTTCACACATAAACAAATATGAATGCGAAACCGCAATATCCTACTTGCATAGGCATGCGCACGGGGTGTGCCGGGTGTGCCTGGGCACACCCTAATCCCCGTGGCACACCTATGGTTTGAGTACTGCGGGAACAGCGTTCCTGCACTTTTTTTTGAGCAGGAACGCTGTTCCTGCAGGCACTCAGCGCCCCTGTCTCACCTCTTGCCCCAGTCATGGGGCGGGCAAGAGGTGATGGATCCCCCCTCTTTCTCCAGCTCCAGCTCAGCCGCGATGGAGCTGTCTGCTGTCTGCTGTCTGCTCCCTCTCGCCGCACGCTGATGCCGGGAGCCGGAATATGACGTCATATTCCGGCTCCCAGCTACAGCAGACAGCCCGCGTGGCGAGAGGGAGCAGACAGCAGACATCTCCCTCGCGGCTGAGATGCAGAGAGGCGCCCGCCCCACTGGACCCCAGGGAAAAGTCCACGCCAGCACTCCAGGTAGGAGGCTGGGTGGACATTTTTTTTAATTTAAATATAATAATTTGTTCTTGTGTGTGTGTAAGTGTGTGTGAGTGTGTGTCTGTGAGTGTATGTGTCTGTCTGTGTGTGAGTGTGTGTCTGTGTGAGTATGTGTCAGTGTGTGTGTCTGTCTGTGTGTGAGTGTGTGTCAGTGTGTGTGACTGTCTGTGTGTGTGTCTGTGTGTGTGTCAGTGTATGTGTGTCTGTGAGTGTATCTGTGTGTGTGAGTGTGTGTCTGTGAATGTGTGTGTCTGTGAATGTGTGTGTCTGTGAGTGTGTGTGTCTGTGAGTGTATGTGAGTGTGTGTATGTGTGTGTCTGTGTGAGTGTGTGTGTGTCTGTGTGAGTGTGTCTGTGAGTGTATGTGTGTGTGTGTGTGTGTGTACGCATATATATATATATATATTTATATATATATATACACACACACACACACACACACACATACACACACACACGCAGAGCTGGCGCTATCTGAGTGCCGGCTCTGCTCTAAGCCTCCATGGGCCGGCGGGGAGACCAAAGATCTACCTCACCAGCCCACAGCAGCATTGAGGGAGGCAGGAGAGGACCCAGGGAGCTCTAGATAGAAGCTCAGCCAGGTTCCTCTCGCGATATCTGAGCGTTGCTGAGGCAACACTCAGATCTCGCGAGAGTTAACTCTAGCCCCGCAGGCTAGAGTTCACTCTCCACTGGACCACCAGGGATGGCACATGGCAGCAAGGATTTACTAATCTGCCAAATCCCTCCAAACATACAGCACACAAACATACAGCACCTACACACATACAGCTCACACACACACAGTACACTAACCGCACCCTCACAAAACACACACAGCACCTTTAAAAAAAACAACAACACCCTCACACACAGCACACTAACAGCACCCTCACAAACACACACACACACACAAACAGCACCCTTACAAATACACAACACTCACACAAACAGCACCCTCACAGGACAAACACACACACACACCCTCACACACAAACAGCACAGTCACAAACACACACACAAACACCCTCACATCACACTAACAGCACCCTCACACACACATCACACTAACAGCACACAGCACACTAACAGAACACACAGCAGTGTGTGTGTGTGTGTATATATATCATCAGGGCCGGACTGGGAAAAAAATTCGGCCCGGGCATTTTTTTATCACAGCGGCCCACTAAGAAGGGGGCGGGGCAGAGAGGGTGTGTTTTGTCATCACTCATGACAAACACGCCCCCTCTCAAAGTGAGCATGTTGGTTCAATGCTCTTCCAGGGCAGACCATGCACAGAGCTCTGCTGAAGAGCTCTAGCATGAGAAAAAAGCCCTGTATTTGTTCTGCACAGTGCAAGCAAATTTAATAACATGCTTGCACTGTGTTTCCTTGCAACTTGTCTCTGGTGTCTCTATAAATGGATACCAGGAGACAAAAGGGCCAGGAAAGAGTATTGTGCATGTGTTTGGAGCCTGCTTGTGGTATTGCGTGTGTGCAGAGTGAGCTGGTCGTGGTGTGGTATTGTGTAATAAGGTCGGTTTTAGTCGTGTTGTGTTTGTGGTGTAATGTAATGCATATGTGGCTAGGGGCTGTAGAGAATGTGTGTATAGGGGATATAGCAAGTGTGTGCATATAGGCTATAGTGTGTGTGTGTGTGTGTATAGGTGATGTAGTGTTTGTAGAGAGTGTGTGTTCAGGGAATGTAGTATGTGTTTGCTTACAAGGAATCTAGTGTGCATATAGGGGATCCAGAGTGTGTGTGTATATATATATATATATATATATATATATATGAGTCTTATGTGTGTTTGAAGGACCCAGACTATGTATAGGAGATCTAGTGAGCGTGCGTATATAACGGATTCAGAGTGTATATAGTGATCTAGTGTGTGTATGTGTGTATATGATCCAGAGTTGGCTAAAGGATTTAGTGTGTGTCTGGAATGTAATGTGTTTAGGGGTGCAGTGTGTGTGTGAGGGGTGCTGTGTGTGTGAGGGGTGTTGTGTGTATGTGTATATATATATATATATATATATAGTTTATATAAATATGTTTGGAAGTATTGTGTATGTGTGTGATGCAGTGTATCGGGGGGCTGTGTGTGTATGTGCGGGGTGCAGTATGTGTGTGTGATGGATGCTGTGTGTGAGGTGTGATGTGTGTGCTGTGTGTGTGAGGGTGCTGTATGTGATTGATTTGTGTGGGGGTGCTGTGAGTGTGGGTGCTGTGTATGATGTGTGTGAGAGTGTTGTGTGTGATGTGTGTGAGTGCTGAGTGTGATAGTGCTGTGTATGATGTGTGTGAGTGTTGAGTGTGATAGTGCTGTGTATGATGTGTGTGAGAGTGTTGTGTGTGATGTGTGTGAGTGCTGAGTGTGATAGTGCTGTGTATGATGTGTGTGAGTGCTGAGTGCTGTGTGTGTGAGTGTTGTGTGTTAGAGTGCTGGGTGTGAGAGTGCTGGGTGTGAGAGTGCTGTGTATGATGTGTGTGAAGTGTGTGAGAGTGTTGTGTATAAATGTTGTGTGTTGGGGGTAAATAAATAAAAAATTAAGTGGGGGTAAATATACAAAAAAAAACTAAGGGGGGAAATAAACAATAAAAAATAAATAAATAAACAATAAAAAAAAAACTAAGCAAAAAAAAAACAACTAAATCCCCCCCTCCCTTCTTACCTTTAGCCTGGGGGGGCAGGCCCGTGGTAGCTGGTTGGGGGGGGGGGCACAGGCACTCGTACACGATCCCTGGCAGTCCAGTGGTGAGTGAACACTCTCGCGAGATCGGGGTGTTGCCCTGGCAACGCTCCCGATCTCGCGAGAGGAACCCGGCGGAGCTGCAAGATAGAGCTCCGCCGGGTCCTCTCCCTCCCTCCACAGCCGCAGGTCTGTTTAAATGGGCCGGTGAGGGAGATCTTCGATCTCCCCACCGGCCCTCCATGGAAGACAGCGGGGCCGGCGCTCGGATAGCGCCGGCCCTGCATAGACCGGCCGGGGAGATCCTGGGACCTCCCCTGCCGGCCTCGGCCCATGGCCACCGCGGCCCACCGGGCATTTGCCCGCTGTGCCCGATGGCCAGTCCGGGCCTGTATATCATTAACAGCAAGGATCATAGGCGTGCGCAGCCTATTGCATTAGGGTGTGCACCTTAAAGCACAAACACACGCCTACTTGTACCTATAGTCCTATAACATGCAAAAAAAAAGCAAAAAAGCACGAAAACACTGGGTATTTTTAAACTCAGGACAAAATTTTTAATCTATTTAGCAGTTTTTTTCATTCGCTTTTGTAGATGAGTAAAAGATTTTTCAAGTAAAAGTCAAAAAACATGTATTTTTTTCAATTTTTCATCATTTTTTTTATTTTTTTTTAAATTAAAATACATGAGATTATATAAATAATGATATGTAAAGAAAGCCCCCTTTGTCCTGAAAAAAACAATATATAATTTGTATGGGAACAGTAAATGAGAGAGCGGAAAATTACAGCCAAACACAAACACCACAAAAGTGTAAAAATATTCCTGGTCGCAAATGTACAACATCGCAAAAACAGTCCAGTCCTTAAGGGGTTAAAAGAAGAGATCAGTCTGCTGCAGAGTGAGGGAGAAAAAGCCAGCTAGGGGAGAGAACAACAATTGTGTTTATTGCTAAAACTATTTTGTTTTTTTTTGGAAAATTGGTAAGTGGGAAAGCCACCCAATTACAGATAGTGATTTCTGTCTAGTAAGAGCAAGGAGTTTTGTTTATTATTATTTAAAGCACCTGTTTTTCTTATCAAATAAAAAAAGGAAAACGGAACTGGATGTGTCCTGGACTTGATTACCTTAGGAGACTGTGGTTACTGTAAGATCTGTGACAAAATCCTACCGGTAAAAGAGGTGGTTTGTTACAACATGTATATTTAGTTATCTAACTACACCTCTGTCTCCCCACCCCCACCCCCCCAACAAACAATACAGGCCCAACACGTTCACACATACACTGGATTTCTTATAGACACAAACACACAGAACATCTCTGGCACACACAGTACATCCCTGACACACACAAACCAGTTGATAAGCACATTATGGATCCTTTATGCACATACTCAATCCCCTACAGACACACATTGACATACAAACTTACTCTACACATACACAATACAACAATTAGCTACCAAATGCATGCAGTGTACACTCTCCTGGCTTTTTGTTCTCTGGTACCCCGCTTATGTAGACACCAGAGACAAGTCACAAGCAAACACAGCACTGCACATTACACAGGGCCTTTTTACAATGCAAGAGCTCTTCAGCAGAGCTCTGTGCATGGGCTGCCCTTGAAGGGCAGTGAAGAGACGTGCTCACTTTGTATTCTTTATACTATAGTTGTAATAACACTATTTAGGCCCTTGCCCCACACCCCACCCCATACCTGACTTTAAAAGGTATGTTTACTTACCTTTATTCCAGTGCCACACCTCCTTGGCTGAGATCAAACTTTATGATTTCAGCAAATCCAATGTGTTCCCAGAGGAAAGCATTGGAAGGCTATTACACATGCACAAAAAAATAAAATAAAAAATAAAACGAATAATGCATGTCTATGAGGAGCATTCAGCGCCTCCATGCAGAGTTTGGGATAGGATCTGTTTGGAGGCAGTAGGGATGGATAGCTGGATGATGATGAGGAAGTAATTAAAAGAGATGTTGGCAAAGGAAGAAAGGGTGTTGGTGGAGGACATACACTTTGATGGTGGACCCTGAGGAGGGAAATATACTCTAATGTTGATTATTTTGCTTGAGAAATGTTAAGCAAGAACTGACGCAGTAAGGTGAGAAGACTTATTGAGTAAAAGAAATAGGGAGGGTGTGAGAAGATTGTTGAGAGGTGAAGTGAATGAGGGGAGAGTGTGGTAATTAATGATTTGTAGTAGGAACTTTTGTTGGCTTCTGGGGAGGTGGAGTATTGTTTAAGAAGAGAGTGGTAGGTTGCTAGGTTGGATTGTAGGTGAGGTCTTCCAGGTGCATTAGGCAGCATTCATTAGTAAGCCAGGTTTAATTGCAGAGTAATTATAATGCCCTTTATGGAACACAGATAGAAATAAAAAGAACAGCATACTGCAACAAGTTTAAAAATAATGAATATGACTGTCTTTAATTAAAACAACTCACATAGCCGTGACCACGGAAAAGTATACCAAAGGATAGTGGCAGGAAATAGGTTCAGTGCCTACATCTTGATATCTACTGTATTTATTGATTAACATGGGGTGAAAACTCATACATTTTTGAACAACTGAGATGTCAATAGTTATGTCGACACAAAGAGTTGCCATTATTCTCTGTATAAAATTTTAAAAAAAGGGAACCCAAATGTCACTTGCATTTTGCACTATTGTACAAATATAAAATTTTCTTTGAAGAACAGGGTCTTTTAAAAACATGTTTTTCTCTAATGAATATAAAATTGATAAATC